CATCGCTGATGAGTCTTACACTGATCCTCTTCCTCCTCCTCATCCTTCTCCTCCTCCTCCTCCTCCTCTCCTCGTCCTCGTCCTCCTCCTCCTCCGCCTCCTCCTCTTCCTCCTCCTCCTCCTCCTGCTGCTCCTTGTCCTCGTCCTACTCCTCCTCCGCCCTGCACTCCCTCCTCATCATTCCTCTTCCTTCTCATTACTCTTCCTCCTCGTCCTTCGAACATGGCTCCGATTTTGGTGAACGAAGAGCCTCAGCATCTGAAGGCGCCCAAAGAGAAGTCAGAACGCGCACGAACTACACACTCTTCAGGAAGTGTGTAACAGAAGGTGCGTAAACACTGGCAAAGAGAAAAGTGTGGCTAGCAGCCCAGACGGGCCATAGAGGTGCATTGACACTGCAGGCAGCGCAGTACGGCGACGAGTGGGCACTGCAAAAAAAGGGAAAGAGGGCCAATGTTACGATGCCCTGTGCTTTTAAAGAAGCTGCTGGAGGAAGACTGCCTCAACACTGACACCGCACCTGCCCACGCGAACCTCGCTCCCCGCTAGATCGTCCGAATATCGGAATCGAATCGCATCGGGCCAGCCAAAATCGATATCGAATCGGATCGATCGGATCCGATTGGACCCCGAAGGCCCCAAAATCCGCCACCGTGCCGCTGGGCACAAAGTGGGCGTGTCTTCAGGTCATTTGCAGAATCCCATGAGCCTCAGTCCTCAATCCTGAGGGGTCTTTACGGGGCCCGGGCCCGAAATTGCCAAATCTCCTGGGGCTTGGCGCGAGCCCCCTGGGGGTTACCAGTGGCTTGTCGCGTGACTTTTTGAGGCCCAAGAGGGCCCCAAGACGGGCCAAGAGGTCCCCAAGAGGCCCCCAAGACGGTCCAAGAGGGCCCCGAGACGCCCCAAGATCGCACAAAGACGCCCAAGACAGCCCCAAGACGACCCAAAAGGCCTCCGAGACACTCCAAGAGAGCTCCAAGAGCTTTCCCAGAAGGCCCCAAGAGGGCAAAATCATTGATTAACCAGTGGTTTCTCCATGACTTTAGGGGTCCTCGACTATTCGAGCTCCCGGCGCTCCAAGACGGCCCAAGAGGCCCCCAGGATCGCCCCACGACGGCCCAAGAGGCCCCCAGGAGGGCCACAACATGGCCCAAGAGGATCCCAGGACGCCCCAGAGGCGCCCAAAACAGCCCAAGAGGGTCCCCAGACAGCCCCAAGAAGGGTCCAAGAGGGGGAACGCGAACCGAAAATCCGAACCTTCTGCCCCATGAACCCCCGCAAAGGCCCCCAGGAGGCCCAAGAGGCCCCAAGAGACCCCCAAGAGGCCCCGAAGACGCCCGAAGAAGCCCCAAGACGGCCGCTAGGAGGCCTCAAAGCGGCCCTCAAGAGGCCCCCGACAGGTCTCCAGCGACATCCCAACGAACATCCTCGAGGCATGCGACCCACAACCAAGACACGGTGGCGGGATGGGCTGAAAGCGACTCCTCCTCCTCCTCCTCCTCATCCTCCTCCTCCTCCTCCTCCTCCTCCTCCTCCTCCTCCTCCTCCTCCTCCTCCTCCTTATCATCGTCATAATCAGCACCATCATCATCATCGTCATCGTCATCATCATCATCATCATCATCATCATCATCATCATCATCATCATCATCATCATCATCATCATCATCATCATCATCATCATCATCAATCATCATCATCATCATCATCATCATCATCATCATCATCATCATCATCATCATCATCATCATCATCATAATCATCATCATCATCATCTTCTTCATCATCATCATCATCATCATCATCATCATCATCATCATCATCATCATCCTCATCCTCATCCTCATCCTCATCTTCATCATCATCAGCATCATCCTCATCCTCATCCTCATCATCATCATCACCATCATCATCATCATCATCATCATCATCATCATCATCCCCCTCCTCCTTCTCCATCTCCTCCTCCTCCTCCTCCTCCACCTCACCACCACCACCACAGCCTTCCTCCTCCTCCTCATCATCAGCATCATCATCGTCCTCCTCCTCCTCCTTATCATCATCATCATCATCATCATCATCATCATCATCATCATCATCATCATCATCATCATCATCATCATCATCATCATCCATCCTCCTCCTCCTCCTCCCTCCCTCCTCCTCCTCCTCCATCTCCTCCTCCATCTCCTCCTCCTCCTCCTCCTCCTCCTCCTCCTCCTCCTCCTCCTCCTCCTCCATCTCCTCCTCCTCCTTCTCCTCCTCCTCCTCGTCCTCCGCATCCCTACCCCCGCTTGTCCACGCTGAAGACGGGCGCTTCTGAGGTGTTCGTCAGCATCAGCATGCGCGAGTTGAGGAAGCCGTAACTCACGGTGCCGAACGAGAGCCTTGGAGGCGCCACAATGCAGAGAACGACTGGAGGGCAGTGCAGCAGATGCACACGGGCGACTCCAGAAAGCCTCAAGCCAAAAGGTTGACGGCTCACAATTTCTTCCACAGCTTTCTTGGGGGCTCCACTCCAACACATTCCGAATCCTGCCGAGGAAGAGGTCGGGGGCACAAGTGGACAGCGACGCGGCAATGTAGGAATGCGCGGCGAGCTGAAGGCCGTCACGTCAAACAAAAGAAAATGCGGCAAACCTGCTGCCAACGCGGACTTTTGAAATCATCGTCGAAGCAGTCACTATCATAGGAGGAGGATGGAGGAGAAGCGAGGGCGGGAGGGAGCCGGAGGCGGCCGGGGGGTCTAAACTGGTCGGGGCCCCAGAAATTTGGTCGGGAGGGAGGATGACGCCAAGTCCACTCAAAATCTGTCCCCGGACCCCTCCCCGGCTCCATCTGGCGCAGATTTTCTCCCCGGATCCATTCTTGATGGTCCCAGGCCCCGAAAACGGCCCCCGGAGGCCGAAAAGGGCAAAACACCTTCCTGGACCCGGAACCTCGGACCTCGGCACCCCTTCCTGCTGGCCAGAGCCAGTGCTCAGGCCACCTCAGACCCCCAGACGGCTCCAAGCCGCAGTAGTCATGGGAGGGGGATGGAGGAGAAGGGAGGATGGACAGATGGATGGATGGAACGCTGGGGGGGCCAACGTCTCTCAGTGCTGCATTCGGCCTTGTACAGCTGAGCGTGCTCTCAGCCTATATGGAGTGCCCCCTGCGTATCTGTTGGGAGAAGGGGCGGGGGGCTAGAATTTATGACCGCTGACCTGGCCCGCCAGCATGGGACCTCATGCTCGGGCCACCCCACATCCCCAGACGGCTCCAAGCCGCAGTAGTCATGGGAGGAAGAGGATGGAGGAGAAGGGAGGGAGGGAGGGAGGAGGGAGGGAGGTGGGAGGGAGGGAGGGAGGGAGGGAGGAAGGAGGGAGTGGAGGGAGAAGGGAGGAGGGAGGGAGGAGGTAGGGAGGAGGGAGAGAGGAAGGGAGGCAGGAGGAAGGGAGGGAGGAGGGAGGGAGGGAGTGAAGGAGAGAGGAGGGAGGGAAGGAGGAGGGAGGGAGGAGGGGAGGAGGGCTTCTGCCAGGGCCGCCTGCCGCGGCGCTGCTCTTTGGGCCGAGGGCGTGGCACCCTCTCTGGCGCGCCCCACCAGGGCAGGATCCCGGGAGGCGTATATGTACATGTATGTGTATATATATATATATATATATATATATATATATACACGTATCTAGGTTTATCGGCGTATCGGCTCCAAGGCAAGAGCGGTACCACGGTGCGGCCGCGCTGTAAATGTTGACGTATCACTTTCACACGACGGTTGGAAGAAGTAAGTAAAAACATGAGGCAGGAAGGCGGACAAAGTAGATTGGGCCCAGGCCCTCCCGGGGAATGACGAAACACTGCAAAAGCACATCGGCTCTTGAAGTAGGAAGGCGCTTGAAGTAGATTGAGATCTGGGCATCCAGAAATACCTACTTTCAACGACAGGCGTGTACTAATACGATGTGTACCCCTCGGAGGCGTGCGTCCGACCCGAACATCTAGCACACAAGTCTTTATGATATATCGTTTCCCGAGCGGTACGGTCAGAAAGCGCCCGTCACGACGCATAGATTATGCGATTTCTCGGTGCGCGCGTCGCCCCTGGGAGGGAGACGCACACACAAAACTAGTACGTTGGGGTGACGCCGACACGAGGCCCCGACCCCTCCACCAGGGTAAGCAGCGCGTCGCCCCGGAAATTGGGCCCGAGAGCGGACCGCAGAGGCCGAGAGATCGAGTGAAAGCGCCAAGTAAGAACAAGAGAAACAAAAAACAACAGACATGAAAACGTATCGCTGGAAATCTGGGGACAATTCCAGGGCCGCGCGGGCGAATCTCGAGCGCAGGCCTCTCTGGACGCCCGAAAGGAATACGGCAAAAATGGCCACTGTGCCCAGCAGCAAGTCTTGTCCAAAAGCGACAGCGGCCGCTGTCGGGCAGGCGGCCTCCTGCCTCGAATGGGCAACGCCCGCGGCGGTACCGGCAGCGAGCCCTGTTGAAAACGGACAAGAACTGCTGCCACTCCGCGTCCCCAGTCTTTCCGCACCCGTCTCGATCATGCCGAGCCTCGGGCGAGACGGGGAGAAGGAGGAGGAGGAGGACGAGACAGAGGAGGAGGAGGAGGAGGAGGAGGAGGAGGAGGAGGACCAGGAGGAGGAGGAGGGGGAGGAGGAGACTGGAGAGCGCGCGGGGGCGGCACTGCCACGGCGCACCCCCCGCACAGGATATAACACAGCAGGAAATTATTTTTGCGCGTGCCGCTGCCCCGCACCTGGGCCAGGCCCGCCTTCGAAGCTGCGCGGGGTGGGATATTGATCGAGGGGTGGGCGCCTAACCTTCCGACGGAGCTTGCCCATCCCCTCCCCTCTTCCTCCTCCTCCTCCGCGTCCTCCTCGCCCACCTCCTTCTCCTCCTCCTCCTCCAACCCCCCTCCACCAGTTCCGACAGCACGTGCCCAACCCCCCCAGCGGATTCAGCGGGGGGACGATTTGTGTCCCATCTGGACTAACCGTGACATCCTC